TGTATATCACCGGTCCATGCCTCAACAGCTCTACGCCAAATTTGAGATCTCACCATAAGCCGTTTCCATGGACACGCATCCCTCGCCATAAAACACGATGTCGCTATAACTCCTATGAAAATGTTCAAAAAGTGCTCAAACTTCACATGTGTGCTAACAGTCCAGCCGTGAAGACATCTACGGGACAGTTTTGAGATTTCTTCAAATGCCGTTGCCATGGCAACACAATGCTCGCCTTGAAACACGGTTTTCTCATAACTTCAGTGAAACTGCTCCAAACGCCCCAAAACTTCACAGGTTTGGTAACGATGCAGCCATCAACGCATCTAAGCGTCGTATGCGGTGTCGACAAATGCCGTTGCCATGGCGACAGATCATTCGCCATCAAGTTAGTTCAGAAGTTTGCAGTTCAAATATTCTGCTGCTTTTCAAAGCCTTTTTACTTTCTTTTCTTCTCTCATCACACATTCAAGCCCCCAGTGTTCATGTATCATTTCAATCTAAATTATTCACTTTCTTCTTACACATTACATTTCAGCATAGTAGTTTAGCGTCAGATTTTCAGCACAAAGCATTCCCACTAGCAATTTCTTCAGGAATTGCATTCTCTAGTTTTTTGTTGTTATCTTTTATTTGAAAATCATCTTTAAACACTGTGTATTTTTATTATTATATTTATGATAAGCAAAAAAGTTATAGAACTTTTTTACAACCTGTATGAATTCATATATTTATTTTTTAAAACAGTTAATTTGTTTTTTAATTTGTATTTCAGTATATATTATATTTTTAAATAAAGTCAGCCAGTGAATTTAAGCAACATTTTATGTATTTTTTTTTAATCCTTTGTATGATTCAAAGCTCAAACCGTTTAAATTATTATTCTTATTTTATTTGTTTAATTGTTGTTTTTATTATTGAAAGCCATAAACACCAAGCTGTGACAAACAACATCCAAGGAAAGCAAGAAGATCTGAGATAGTTATTTATTTGTCTTTTTGTATTTTTTTTGTTTTGTGTCCCGTGAGAGGGGTTACAGGTTACAGCAGTCCCTAAAAGTGTTGATAAAAATACAAATGCATCAACAAACATTCATTTCATTCTACCCCTGTGAATATGAAAACACGCACATCCACCAAACAAAAAACACTTTTAATGTCATAGAAAACATCTCTCTCTTCCAAAGAAATACGCTTATTTAAGGCAGGATTAAGAATCATGTACACGACGAGAACTAAGTAAATAAAAAAGGAAGTTACGTTACTGCTGTGGCTGATTTAAAAAATGTAAAACTAAACATCGCTCTTTAAACTCTTCACAGGTTTGATTTCTTTCTCTGGATCCATTGGACAAACATTGATATGTACACAGAAAATATTTTAATAATATTATAAAATAAGCAGAATCGTTTTCACTTTTCAGTTTGACGCTTCTTTGACGACTCTCCTCCAGGAATGAGGAGGTTAATGTGTTAGAAGCAGCCCTTTTCTAAATGGAGCCACCATGGCTTGTTAACAGCGTACATTGACCTCTCTAAAGAACATCAACAGTTTGCCTTCTTATTCCCAACCAGGCAATGAGCCAGAAATGTCAACGCGGGACAGCAGGGAATCTGGCCTGCTCTCTAACATTTGGATAATAACAGTTGTACTAGAAATTATTTTCCTACAGCAGAGAGGATACAAACAATGTCTCGGATTCATCTTGGTCAGTGACGGCCGAATAAATACTTCTCCTGCAACTCTTCTCCACTGATGGATCCAAACCATCCCTCTCTCCTTTCGTAACCGTAACCACACCCACACACACACACACACACACACACACACACACACACACACACACACACACACACACACACACACACACACACACACACACACATCCTGACGCTGTTAGCTTCATTTTTTACAAGACAGTCCTCTGCACCAGTTTGACCGTCGTCAGCTTAGCAGAGAGATTTAGGTCGAACCTTCGGGAAGAGCTGAAAACAAGAAAAAAAAAAACGATTAAAGTTTTCTGATATGATTCAGGAAATCAATCCTGCCAACAGAAATAACCCTCCACAACAATTCTCCAATTTGGGTAACTATTCTCACTTCTGTACGTACGTTGCTTTGATTTATTTGAAGCTAATGCAGTAATCGTCCAGTGGTTTGGCTTTGAGAAGTCTTATGTACTATCAGGATTTATTATTTTTGGAGTTTGTATCTTCATTGTTGAATGCATTTATTGTGAGTCACTCTCGATAAAAGCAACAACTAAATAAAATGTAATCTAATGTTATTTATTATTCTTAATTTTTCTGCATTATGGCGAGAGAATGCAGAGCTAAAGTCTTAATATTGTTTATGAATTGGTGTCTGGCAGTGCAAGGTGCTTCAGAGCCCATTTCACCAATGCTAAATTGGCCAAAATATTTCCACGACAGCGATGCCTTTAGTGCCTGAAAACAGTCCCCGGCCGACCTTGTCCATATGTTTTGGTCATGTCCCATCAAACTGTCTTCTGGTCCAATCATTTTAAAACTATTGAACAGGCCCTCAACACAATTGTAGCCCCTAACCCCCTGGCTGCTTTATTCTATGTCCCCCAATTCAGAGTGTGCCCACTACGACTCAGTGTGCCATCGCTTTCACAACCCTGCTGGCAAGAAGCTCCATCCTTCTTAAATGGAAACATGCCTCCCCCGACATATGACAGGTGGATACAGGAGCTCGATGCATTCAACTTGAAAAGATTCTCACTAAAATGATCTCAGAAATCCTTTCACAAAACCTGGATACTCATCCGAGGTAGCTCACTGAATGGAGAGAGAGACCCACACTCTTCCTTCCCCATGTTCCTTTTCAGCATATTACTTTGTCTTTTATATTTCTCCCATGTTGACTACAATATTGTTTTCTACTTTAGTTAATTGCTGTTTTTAATGTTTTAATTGATTGAGTATTTCATTGCTGTTTGTAATAGTTATTTGCTTTCATTACATGTTGTGACCATGACCAATAATGGGTGGAAGAGTGGATATTTTTAATTCGATGAAAGATTACAATATAGACAAATGATCTTGTACTGAAAATTCTATGTTCAAATTGACATGTCTGTAAAAAACAGAATTGCCGTCTTACCCCAAAGTAGTTATTTGGAACGAAGCCCTCCCTGCCGCAGAGCGAGGCCCACCACCAGTCGGACCCCTCAGGTCTCTGCAGGATGGTGACCATGTCGGCCTCTTTGAAGCTCAGCTCATCGGCTAGCTGAGCCGGGTAGCTCCACAGAGCGTACAGCACCCCGCTGTTCTCCGTGCCCATGGCCTCCTCCACCCCTGGTGTCACAGGAGAGACAGGAGCAACATGCATTTATTTTTAGGATCATTTTTGCGAGAGACAGAGTTGAAAGGGAATGACACGCGCAATGTAATTTATTTTACATATGTATTTACATTTCAGATTAAGGTTATTAATACAAGCTAAACATACTGTATTTCAATATATATAAAAAATATATTGAGAAAGTTTACTGTTGGAACTGAACTTTTTTACTTTTACTGAATGTAAGTACAATTTTGAATGCAGGCTTTTACTTGTAACTTAGTATTCTTAATTTACCATGGGTAAGTCTGTACAAATAATGTCACGATCTGTCTGTGTTGTGTTTTGTCTTGTCTAGATCTGTCTTTGGTTTTCTGTCTGCGTTCTGTCTTGTCTAGATCTGTCTTTGGTTTTCTGTCTGCGTTGTGTTTTGTCTTGTTTAGATCTGTCTGTGGTTCCCTGTCATTAGTTTCCCTGGTGTGTCTAATTTACCCGATTGTGTTCACCTGGTGTCCCTGTGTTTTCTCCTCCCTCCTCACCTGTGTCTTGTTTGTATGATTAGTCTTGTGTGTATTTAAGTTCTGGTTTTTCTGTCTGTCTTTGTCGGTTCGTCTTTTGTAATGACTTGGTCTGCGGTGAGTGTTCTGTTCAGTCTTTGTTAAATAGTTTAGCCTTGAAATAAAGGAGTTATTTTTGTCACTTTAATCTGCATTTGGGTCCTGCTTCCTACACACATCGTAACATTACGAACCGACCAAAGATAAGGGCCCAGCAGATCCGTTTGAGCAGGAACTATTGGATTATACCTTTTCTTTGTCTGCCTGTGCTCATCGATGGATGGGAGCGGTCAGGGTTCAGCAGCGTGAGGCTGCTCTGGCAGATGCATGCAAGCTTACGATGAAGAATCAAGATTTGGTTAAATTCTTACCTGCCTGGCTTTTGGATTACCTCACGGTTTGTTTTCCCGATCCTGATAGACCCAGGTCTCCCAATTCCCTTTTTGTATACCACACGCATCGGTGTGGTCCGTCTGGCGTCAGCCCCTGCTTCTCACCCAGTGTTTGCTACAGTCCAGGAGCCATTCGCTGGTACTCGTCTGGCTTTCGGAGGTCCACGGAGCCTCCAAACGCCTCCTAAAAGAAGGAGTCGCAAGGCCAGGTTAGCAGCACGAGCCCAAAGGGCCATGGTTCCAGAACCAGTTCAGCCCCAGCAGCCATGGTTAC